AAAAAGATTTTTTTTTTTTTGTCAACAGTATTGTTTTGCTAAAACAATATTGTTTTGTTTTGTTAACAAAAAAGGAAAAAAGAACTTTGTTTAAAATTCTGGTGTAAATTTTGAATAATATCATTTTTTCATAACCAAAGATAAACATGATATAATTAACATTTTTTCGTGTGAAATGGTTAAAAAACGATATTGGAAAAAAATGTTTTTTAATGATTTAAGATTTTCAGCTTCGACCAACCATGGAATTTTATGTACTAGAACCTTGACTAAAGGAAAGGACAAAACTAAATTATACGTCTTGCGAAACCGATTAAAAAAAAAACATTTCTCTTTCATTGAACGGAAATTGTTTTATGTTTGGTCATAAATTTGGTTTTACATACTTTCCTTTATGTATTTTTTTTTTACCTTTAGAATTTTGGGTCGGCTCGAGTTAGCCATATGCTAGGAATGACCTCGAGCCGTAGCCCGAAATATCATTGGCCTATACCAGGCCAAACTAGCGCACTTTCACACATCTCTACCTTGTTGAGTCTCTACTAACCAAGTGTTTGTTATGTTAATAGCTATAGATGAGACACAAAGGGAGAGAAACTCAAGGGCTCATGAACTAGTTCATCCATTGAAGAACTTTTGTCAACTCAAGAAACCTAACGTAAGCTTTCTGATTACAAATCACATAAATTGGCTTGATTCAAAAGCTCTTTTTTATATTAGGGTTCATAATTTTCAGGTGAAGACGGAGATAGTGGTGGTTGAAACGGCGGAGGAAAAGGGAAAGACAATAGTTGAGGAATCAAAGAAACAAGGAGCAGGAGTTTTGGTTTTAGGACAGCGAAAGCGAACCTCGAAATGGCGCGTGATATGGAAATGGCGCGCAAAGGGAGGCATGGGAGGAGGAGTGGTTGAGTATTGTATTCATAACTCCGATTGTATGGCAATTGCCGTAAGGAAGAAGAGTAACAATGGAGGTTACTTGATTACCACGAAACGTCACAAAGATTTCTGGCTCTTGGCGTAATTATACTAAATCACACCCTCATTGATGTATTATCTTTATTTTTCTTCCCTCGAGGAATCCTTTTTCTTTCTAATTATATCATGTTTGACTTTGATCTCTATTCACTTTTTTTTTTTATGTAAAGACAATGATTTTCTTATGCTTGTCCTTGTGTTGAGCCTGAAGTATAAAATAGAAAAATTTAAGCGAAAGACATAAGCAAAACACGAAGTCAGGTATATAATTACAATTACTACTATTATTCTTATCATATAAAATAAAGGCTGTGATTTGTATCTATGCGGAGCGGCGGAATGACGTTTTTAATGACATTTCGTAAGTATTTTACCAATCAAAAAAACTTGCGGACTAATAGAAAAAATGCAAAAACGCAGATTTTTGTGTTTTTGGTTGAAAAAACACAAAGAAATTTTCATTAGGCAAATAAGTGAGGATATCACGTTTTTTTTGGAAAGAACTGAAAAATTAATTACTTTAGTGATTGATTTTTATTTTATTTTTTAATGTCCCTCAATCATAATCAACACAACGTGTTGCCATTAAGACATATTAGTATTTTTTTTTTATTTGCTTATAAATTACAAATATTTACTTGGATCAGAATCTATAAATTGATTAAGGTGAAAACACAATCAGTGCCGTGCCAAGACTTCTAGAAGCCTAAGACGAGATAAAAAATGGGGCCCTAGTTTCTTGATTCCCATCATCTTCTTCGTTCCCATCAGTTTCTTGATTCTCATCATCCATATGCTCATCAAACTCATCATCATTTCCCACAGGTTCATCAAGCTTTTCAGTTTTTTTAAAATACTTGTGCAATGCATTTGTTTGAGGCTTGTTCGATGCTTCTAATCTTGCTCTTCTTGCTCTCTTTTTGGCTCCAGAGTCATACCTACTCCATGGATACATCCTCTGCCTTTTTAAAACAAAACAAGATGATTAGTAGTAATATAATAAGACTATAAGAGCACTAAACAAACGTCAATATAATAAGAGCACTTAACAAGCATCGATGTTTGTGTTTATTAAAATATTGTGGATATAAACAAAATCAAAATCAGTTTAAGAATTGGAAACAAATTCAGATCACCAAACATGAAATAAAAAGAAGAATCATAAGGAATTTATTATGAAATACAATTATACAAATATAAGAAGACTTGGAAATTGGAAGTTGGAAGAGAAAACGTGAAACCAAAATTGATATTATATGAAGAAGCAGAGAAGTGAGAAGTGGTGTCGTGAAGAGATTGAGGAAGAAGAGTTTACCGGTTGTGGAAGAAGAAGATGAACAAACGGAGAAGCTCCAGGAGAAGAATTCGGTTTCAATTTTTTATGCTTTTTGTCGGGAATTCGATTTTAATTAAGCGATGGTCTCGAATTAGGATGTAGGGTTTAATAAAGAGAGGAAAAAAAAAAACCAAAATTGCTTTCCAGGTTTGCGAGACCTAGTTTCAAACTTGGGTCCTGGCATTAAAGTGGGCCTAACTAAAATATTGATCACCACTACACTACAGATAATTTTCAAAGATTTGGGCCCCTAAAATTTATATATTACTCGGGACCCTGAGACAATGCCTTTTCTCCAACCTAATTTGCTGTAGTAGTCACGGCGGCAGACCCGACGTTTTTCGCCGTGGTGACAGCTCCGGCAACCATTACGGGACCTGCCGCAGCGTTGAAGGCGGTTGCAGCAGCTTGGACGGCCGTTGCTGTAGAAGTCACGGCGGCAGAACCGACGTTTTTCGCCGTGGTGATAGCTCCGGCAGCTATGGGAGCTGCAGCAGCATGGACCGCTGTTGCAGCAGCGTTTGCAGCAGTGGCCGTGGCAATTACAGAACCGATAAAATTCATTGGATTTATCTTCTTTTTTAGTTTTGGTTCTTGTTTTCTAATGAAAATGGTGCAGTATGTATGGGATATTGAAACATTTATTGGTGTTCGAAAGTTGAGTGACTACTACATTTTTCAAGATGAGTACAATTTTCTAGAAGGTTATTTAAAGTGTTTGAATTAAAGACCCACAAACAAAGGAAACTAAATAGTATTCGTTTCATAACACAATCACTTTTTGGTTGATTTTGATGTATAACGAAGAAAATACCAAGCGAAGTACTTGTTAATGATTTGATAACAATCAAAAGATAAAGCACATAGAAAATGAATTTTCGCAATCGTGCTATCTAATCATCAACGTGAAAAAGAAACACAATGTGGGACCCAAGAGTCAGTGCGTAAAATTATTGTAGGTCCCGGTTCTCTTCGGAGAATAATGATACTATGTGACCATTTCTAATTTCCGATTTTACAGGAAACCGAAGTCATACCAAAATAAAATTGCATCTTCGATAAACCAAGCCGGTAAAGATTCCAACCGGGAATTGACAAGGTTCAAACAATTTTCCAAGATGAGAGACTCTTAGAGAGACGTGGGAATCAGTTTAGTCTTTTGAGGAGACGTGTAAATTTATTAGTACTAATTAAGTATCGATCAGGTAAAACAGCTGAACCATTGTAGAGTATCAATTAAGTGTAAAGTTGTAAATGAGGGTTAATACTTCACCTGCTCTCTCTACCCTCTATCTTCGGCTCTACTGATTGTATTGTAGTATTACACTTTCTCTTTCTCTAAAAACGTATATCTCATTTGAGAATGTAAGGCAAGATAAAAAGAGAAATAAAGTACGTATTAAAAAAAATAAAAAACATCCCATGTGGTTTCAAGTATACATTTTTAGAGTCAGAAAATACTAATACTGATTCTCCTAGTATTTAGAGAGAGAAAAAAAAAATGATTCTCCTAGTATCTATATACATGTTTTTTTTATCTTCTCTAAACTTAGATGATGACAAGAAATTATTGTTTATATCACACCTCTTTCTTTTGTATCATCTATTTCATTTATCAATTTGGAAACTCATACAAATGTTGGTACATCCAAGGCAGAGGTAAATGGGAGGATACAAATCAACGTTAGACACATTTTCACACATCGGCTAAATTATCAGCATTAACATTCGCTATTCTAGGGGCATGGCCCAAAGAAGAACATTGGCTAAATTGTTAAATTAAACCAGATCTCATTAACCCTAAAAATCTTTTTTTTTGTTGGAACGATTTTTTTTTTTTAATTTATGTGATATATCGTTGATCTCTCTATTCGCTAAGTTTTATTTTTGTTGTAAACACTTGATATATTTTTGTAGTTTGTTCTTGTGTTTTTTTGTTTTGTTTTTTTCTGTTTTTTTTTTGTAAATTAGTTTGTTCTTGTGTTGAGCCTCAAAATATAATATCGTAAAATTATACTATAAGTGAAGAAATATAAGCAAAGTATGAACTCACGTATATGACGATAGATTTATGCAATTTATTCTTATTATGATTTCATCATATCATATAAAATATAAATTTGAAATAATAGTCTTTATGTCATACATTTTAGAGATTTTTACCGATTGCCATATTTCCTCCTTCACGGCCGAGTTGAAATCGAAAAAAATGTGCTTTGGTGACGGCTCCGGCAGTAAAGACTGTAGTTGTGACGGCGGTTACTGTAAAACTGGCCCCGATGCCTACTAGAGCGAGAACGCACAGGACGATAATAGTTATGAGACCCATTTGTGATTTATCTTCTTTACTCTTCTGCTTTTAGGGTTAGTAGAACTATGTGATACAT